GTGGAGGACGTTGCTTCACTGGCCCAAGTTGGCACCATCATTGCGCTCTTCCCGGGCGAGGCAGATCAGTCACCGGCTTCTGGACGGCCACTCACAGCGGCTGTTGGCCGCTCACGCTGGCTGCTGGCTATACACGGTAGCCCATGGTAATCCACTGCAGCAGGGACTGCAGCCTATGCCGTCGCCGGTGACCCTCGGCAGCCCAGCCCCAGGTCGAGCTGCCGTTCATCATCTTAGCTGCAGAGGGCAGTGTCACTGGTCCTCATATGTGGGATCCGAACCGGGGCCCTCTGGCACCCCAAGCCAGTTCTTAACCAACGTGCCACTCGGCCAGCACCATAGTTCGCACTCTTGAGCAAGCTCTTAACCAACTGAGCCACTCAGCCGGCCCTTATAGCATGGGATGTTTTAAATAGCACATGGCCACCAAGCTAAAGACTATATTTCCCAGCCTCCAGGCCGTGGCCACAGAACTTGGTGCTGGCCAACTGGGTGTGAGAAGTGACAAGGGTAACTAGCAACCTGCCCTTAAAGGAAAGAAGGGTTCCCAACCCCTTCCTATGGGCAGAAATGTGGACTTGGTGACAATTCCTCTTCAGAATACACACAAAAGCACTAAAGACAGCAGGACAAGAAGATGAAAGGGGTCTGGGCCTCCAACATCATGAGCTGCCTCCACCTCTCTGTGAGGAGTTGGGTGAGAGAGAAACTTAAGAGGTTACTGCAAATTAGGAATGCGAATCTCCTTTACGGCCTTTGATGGCCATTGAATCAATCCTCCTATTACAGAAGACGAGCCACAGGGTCACCTGAAAGACCCAGGATCAAAGTGGAAAACCCCACTGACTCAGGCCACTGATGCAAACTGCCCAGGATGAGAGCAAAGCAAAGTGGCCCCAAGTCATTCCAAGCCCATGAGGTCATCTTCCTGAATCGTCAGCCTCAGCCTCCGAGCACTCCCTCCCACCTCCCGCCTTGCTTGCGAGACACATTTGCGGCAACGTTGAGACTTACCTCTGGAGACTTTGTAAACTTCATAGAAAGAATAGAAGTGGAAGCCTAGTGAAGCAAGCAGGTAAAAGGACAGTTCCCACCAGGCCAGCATTGTTCTTGTGACAAAAGGTCCCGATGCCCGAGTTGAGAGTTTCTAGGAAGAGAAACACAAATAAAAACATTAAGCCATTAACCTAACACCAGAGAACAGCATCTTATCACCAGTCAGTGACCTTGCTCTCCCAAGGACTCATCACTAGTCAAGGTGATACAGATATAACCCCGGTGAAACCTCCTCCTGCTAGTTACCTCACACACACAC